TTTACTTTCACTACTATTCAACCCTCTTGCACCTCACATTCCTATTGAACAAAGTACATCTTTTAGAATTCTTTTTTGTAGAAGATCTATTCGTGGCAAACTTTCCCAGTTTTTGTTTGTCTGAAATGTCTTTATTCTTAACATTTTTTTTGCAAGATACACAATTCTAAGTTGACAACTATTTTCTCTCTACTAAGTGAAGTGACAATTTCACTGTTTGCTGGTCCCCACTGCTGCCGTTGTGAAGTCAGCTGGAAGTTTGTTGCTTTTTTGAAGATATTAAAGGGTATTTTAAGGTTTTTTTTTTCCCCCCTCTATGTGTTTTGCAGCTTAACTACAGTGTGTCTAATGTGGACTTTTTTTCATTTATCCTGCCTAGTGGTCGTTGGGTTTCTTGATTCTGGGTTAGTGTCTTTCAATTCTGGCCAATTCCCAGCTACTACCTCCGTTAGTATTGCCTCTTCCCCCATCTCTATCTGGAATTCTAGTTAGATGTATGTTAGACTTTCCCACTTCATCCCCTATGTTTCTTAACTTCCATTTCTATCTCTCTGGGCTGCATCCTAGATAATTTCTTAAATTCAACTTTCCAATTAATTCTTTCTCAGCTGTGTCTAATGTGCTATTAAAACTGCCCATGGAAATTTAAATTTCTATTATTATTTTTTCATTTCTAGAAGTTCTGTTTAGCACTTCTTCAAATCTTCTTGCTCTTTACCACATTTCCAATCCTCTTTTGTACTTTCAGAAATCAAAGTAAGGACTCTTGTTTTATATTCTTTATATTTATATTTATATTTACAATTCCAGTCTCTGAATTAGCAGTCTGATTCTCTGCTGTCTTGTTTTTTCCTTGCTCTTGCTCATGGTCTTGTTTCCTTTTATATAAGTGTTTCTGATTGTAAGGTGCTCATTGCCCTTGGAACTCTTATTTCTATTATTATTTATTCCTCTCCATTTTCTTTTTCTGATTATTTCTATTAGCTGGATTTTGACCTTCCCACCCTGACTGACTGACTGTGTATCTTAACTACCTGCCATATCTTCCATCGGTGTTTTGCTTTATATTCAGAAAAAAAATGTTTTCAACTTTATATTCCAGATTGCAGACTTTAGCCATTACTGAAACTTTTTTATTCTTTTCTTTGAATGAGTTAGATTTCATCTGGGGACCAGTCCTTCTCTTTGGTGCTCATTGGTTATATATTCATATTTTTTAATAACAGCTTGATTAACAAAGGTAATTGGTGTGAATTTCTTGCATCAGTATACTGATCAATTTTCCTAACACACCTAGCCTTTGTAGGAAGGGCTGGCTTAGAGCTCTTTGTAAGTGGACAGGGTATGCTGACTTGAAGGCTTCACTTAGCGTTCAAGAGAAGACAGGCCTACAAGCAAACTGGGAGCCCAAACCCTCTCTCCAACCCCTTTCCCAACAAAAATAGAAATTTTCTGAGAAATTTTTTAGAGATACTTTTTTGGAGAATTTATAGAGAATTTTTATTTGCCTCTAGAGAAAAAGTGACCCTTTTTCTATCACTTGTCTATGCTACTTTTAAGGTCTGGTATTCTCTTAGAATCTATCTATTCCATTTCTCTCTTAGGTATCAGTTCCCAACTATGAGTTCTAGTCAACTGTTTAGTTTTTAGCAAATATTACTGTCTTTTTGGTCTTTTGGTTTCCTTGAGAGGAAAATCAGAAAGAGAGCTCTGCATAAGAATCAGCTAGGATGCGGGTGGAAAAATGGCCCAGGTGTTCACATCACTGCAGGCAATTCACACTTGTTCTCTCTTGGGGTCCAGCAGAAATCTGGAGTCTTTCCTGGGGATCCCCAGGGCTATTCCTACCACCATTAAAGCTTGTTCCTGTTTGATTCTTTTTTCTTTTTCTGGGTCATAACCTTCCCTGTTAAGGATTATTTTTCAGTAGGGTCCTATTACTTTCTGTTTTCCAGAAATGAAGCTAAATTTCTGGTTTGCTGATGGCATTCCTTCCTGTTCTCGGCGCTGTTAAGGGTTCCCCCCCGCCCCCAATTACTTCGGCTTTATGGCTGTTAGGCAGGGATTCTGAAGCAAGAGAAAGAAGTGTTCACACTCAATCTGTCACCTGAACAGGATGTTCTTCTAATTCTAAAAAATGTAGACATACATAATCTATTTTAATATTTAAGTTACTCAATGCTTAATAAGCTTCCATTTTATAATACTAAGTTCAATTGATCAGATTCAGCAAACTGACAATCTACCTTTCAGAAGATTTGGATTGAAAATCATTTTCTGTTTAATTTATATACTTTTATTATCTATATAATGTGATTTTTTTCTAATTTCAAAAAGAGAATAAAAGCACTGGCCTAAAGTAGTGAGGGTTAGTAATCAACCTACACATAAAGATTTTGTTTTTGGTTTCTTGGAAGTTCAGTATTTTCCTATTTCTTACCTGTTTACTGGAGTCATGATTCCACCATTTCAAACCATAATGATTCCAAATCAAATAATAAAACAGTACACGAAATGCTGGTGGGATCAGTTTTCCTAAGGTTTCAAATGTGCTATAATCTATAGAGAATGCTCAGATTTTTAAACAGGAATATTACCTTTTTATACATATGTTTGGCTTTGGTGGAAAGGTTTATTTTAAAAATGGAAAAAAAAAACTCCTTACCCCTAGGAAAGAGAAAGTTAACCAAAAACTTTTCCTAGACAATGAAATGCCAGAGGGTTTTGTACCACACAAAGAAGGTGCCGCATTATGTTCCACACAAGAAAGGTCTGTTTTTACATAATCTAAATTACAGTGAATATTATGGCATGCCATAAAAATATGCCAGATGCATACAGAAATCACAGCATGTAGTTCTTGGACAATAATTCAATCTCACAGTGAAGTGACAGAACCAACCTTCTTGTGAATCAACATAGTAGGATGAAAAGTCTGTGTCTTTGGGGCAGAGATCCCTGAATTCAAATTCAATTTTTTTAGCCATGTGACTGAAAAATGGCTAGTTATTAATCTCAGAATCTCCATTTCTTGGCAGTGGCTCTCGCCTATAATCTCTGTGCTTTGAGAGGCTGAGGCAAGAGGATTGCTGAGGCCAGGAGTTTGAGACCAACCCGGGAAACACAGCAATACCCTGTCTCTACAAAAAATAAAATATTTAGCCAGGTGTGGTGGTACATGCCTGTAGTCCCAGCTACTCAGGAGGCTGAGGCAGGAGGATCACCTGAGCCCAGGAATTTGAGGTTACAGTGAGCTATGTTTGAGCCATTGCACTCCAGCCTGGCAGCCTGGGTGACAGAGCAAGACTGTTTCTAAAAAATAAAGAATCTCAATTTCTTCATGTGTTTAAGTATAAAATTCAGACAATAATGTCTATTTCATACAGCTATTGTGAAAATTAAGTGAAATAATATAGGTCAAGGCACTGGCACACAGTATTAATAGACACTCAACAACCATTTCCTTTGTTCTTCTTTCTGTCAAAAACTCCAAGCTGAGAGAAGGTGTATTTATTTGTCTATTAGATCCTCCCTTTACTCAGAAAGTTTAAAGTCAAGTGGTGAGAAATGGTGAGGAAAGCAATGGCAACTCTTCAGTATGTTCTAGTCATTAGCATATGATGATGACTGCACGCCACACGGACTTAACCATGCATTTCTGACTCCGTTCTTATTGCTGAATTCATTGCTTTCTTCAGATTTCATGTCCCTTGGTATTTCACCTCCTTGCTAGTGCCTATGCCTACAAAAAATCCCAACAGAGGATGGGATAATTAAGTGATGCTGCCTGTGCGTCACTGTGCCATCATCCCCTCATCACCCCCTTTCTCTAGCTGTGCATTAAAATGCTGGGGCTTCCCGATGCATTTGTCTGGACATCTTTCCTCTCCAGCCCTTTTGCCTCACAGATGCCCAGTGAGTGAGCCTCAGTTTCACAGACATTATCTACCAGCTCAGTGGATTTTCATCTTCAAACACAGCTTTGTAATTGGCAAGGGGTGCTCTCAGCCCGCCAGCTGGTCACGAAACTAACAAAGCCCAGTCTTTGTCAGTGTGCTTTTAGTACACGAACAGGGTAGCTTATGCATTTTTAATGCTCAAGACAACATTAATACCAATTAGTAGGGCCAAACAAGAGAATTAAAACGCTACTTCACGAATGTTAACATCCTCTCTTTGATGACAAAGCTTATGTGTTTTATTAGCCACTGATTCAATAAGGAAATGGCTTCCTAGACAGTCGAGTCTATTTCTGGAAGAGGACATGGTGCACATACTCAGCAAGTTGTGACTTTTCTTCATGGATTCTAAGGCCATTTTTCTTGAGGTCTTCTGATTGGTTTTCTTTGCCCACTAATTTTCTTCTTTTTTTTTTGAGACAGAGTCTCGCTCTATTGTGGGGCCTAGAGTGCAGGGCTGTCATCATAGCTCACTGCAACCTCAGACTTTTGGGCTCAAGGGATCCTCCTGTCTCAGCCTCCTGAGTAGCTGGGACTACAGGCACACACCACCATGCCCGGCTAATTTTTCTATTTTTTTTGTAGAGACAGAATCTCACTTATGCTCGTCTCAAACTCCTAGCTTCAAGTGATCCTCCCGCCTTGGCTTCCCAAAGTGCTAGGATTATAGGCATGAGCTACCGAATTTTCTTTTAATTTAGACAACTCATTATTTGCCTTTAAAATTTGTTTCCCCTCCACATGTACTAGGGAACAATTACAGTAAAGCATGATGTTTCTGTCCCCTAGGATTGCTTTGAAATTCACCATGTTATGTTTTGGCCCTCCTTCCCTTGAATATGAGCACTCAAGGTCACCATGAATCTTATCACCCATGTGGGCAATACTTGAACAAATGGTCCCTTTTTCTCATTTGGTTTTGTCTTTTAGCGAATTTCTTTTAAAACTACTGTCTACTGTAGGCTCATCTATCCGTCCCCCTCTGCCCAGCACCCCCAACTTCCACCCCCATTTGAAGTTGTAGAGTGAAGTCTTTCTTACTTGGATTATTGTGTCCAGAGGATACAAGCTGAGAGTCCTGAAAAAACAAGAAGTATCAATTAATTTTCTAATTTTCACTTTCAAAACTCAAGTTGAACATGAGGTATATTACTAGTCATTCAGAACTGATTCACAGCTCTTAATCTCACTAGTTAGTGTAATGAGAAACATTTACAGGAATGTGCTTGTTAAGCAGTTCTGGGAATATACTTCACAAATGCTTTTATTTTGTATTGTTTACTTTTTGTTTTATTTATTGAGGGGACATTCACATAACATAAAATCAACCATTTTAAAGTGAACAATTCATTAAGCATTTAGTTCATTTACAATCTCTTACAACCATTACCTCTATCTAGTTGCAAAATATTTCCATCACTCCAAAGTAAAATCCCCTTATCCATTAAGCAGTGTCTTTCCATTCCCCCCTCCCCTCAGGTCCTGGCAACCACCAATTCCATGTGTCTCTATGGATTTACTAGTCTGGATATTTCATATAAATGGAATCATACAATATGTAACATTTTGTGTCTGGCTTCTTTCACTTAGCATGTTCCGGTGATTCGTACATGCTAAAGCATGTATCAGTACTTCATTCCTTTTTATGGCTAAACAGTATTCTATTGTATGTATATATAACAATTTGTTTATCCATTAATCTGTTAATGTGTATCTGGGCTGTTTCCACCTTTTGGATACTGTGAACAGTGCTGCTATGAACACGTGTGTACAGGCATTTGTTTGAGTCCCTGTTTTCAATCCTTTTGGGTACATACCTAGGAGTGGAATTTCTAGGTCATATGGTAATACTATGTTAAACTTTTTGAAGAAGTGACAAACTGTTTTCCACAGAAGTGAAACCATTTTGCATTCCCACCAGCAATACCAATTTTTCCACGTACTTGCCAACACTTGTTATTTTCCATTAAAAAATTATAGCCATCTTTGTAGGAGTAAAGTGATATCTCATTGTAGTTTTGATTTGTATTTCCCTAGTAATTAATGACACTGAACATCTTTCCATGTGTTTGTTGGCCATTTTTACGTCTTTGGAGAAATCTACATTCAAGTCCTTTGCCATTTTTCAACTTGGGTTGTTTGCCTTTTTGTTGTTGGGATGAAAGATTTCTTGATAGAGTCTGGACACTAGACTCTTATCAGATATGCAAGATGATTTGCAAATATTTTCTCCCATTCTGTTGGTTGTCTTTTAATTTGATTGATAATGTTCTTTGACGCATAAAAGTTTTAAATTTTGGTAAAGTTTAATTTATCTAATTTTTCTTTTGTTGTTCATGCTTTTGGTGTTATATCTAGGAATGTATTACCAAATTGAAGGTTATGAAGATTTAAACCTATGTTTTCTTCTATGAGGTTTATGGTTTTGATTCTCATGTTCTGGCCATTGATCCATTCATTATCTCATTGACTTTTAATACAACTCACTTCTTGAATGTACCTTCACTCTCACCCACTTCCTGTAGATGAGGCTGGCAACATCCCACCAGAAACACTGTGTTGAACAACTCTTGTCAATCTCACATTGGTGGAAGAAAAGATTATTACCGATATCAACTTCTCTGCAATGGCATAAAGCCAGTACTACCTAGTATTTTAAATTTAGTTAATGCTGAGGTAAACAGAGATTGAACCTGATTTTATTTGCATTAAAATGAAATGTGAAATATTGACTTGAGGATTCACAACAAAATTCACTTTCCTTGCAAAATTCTCATTTAAAATAAAATGTAAGGGAGAATTACAAAAAAACGAATTAACTGAGATGTTAGGAAGGGACAAAAATAAGTAGCAGCACATAAAATCCGGCAAAACTCTTTCCTAATTCTGGCACATGTAACAAAAATCCAGTGAAATGGAATTAACTTCTAATATATGGCTTAACATTTTATCAGAATTTTGCTCCATGAATATAGTTGTTATGGGTCGGGGAGTGTCATTTGATATGACTTGCGGCATATTCGAATCCAAGTAATATGTCTGCTTTAAAAAGGAATTCTACTGGAAGAGTATGAAATAAGCCAGTTTGGTGGTCGAGGGTTGGATGCAAAAACTGGGAAGGAAAGGGATTCCCACTCTATTAAACAGACTGAGTCATACACAGATGCCTAATAAACCTCTTTCAGTATTGCTAATAATGAGCTATTCATCTGAAGAAAAAGAACAAGCTCAACTCTCACCCTGAGATTCAGTTTTTGGAAATGGTTTTATGAAGATGAAATACTAGTCCAGAAATATTATCTGCAAAAATGATTTTGGCCTATCTTGGATAGATGCTGTTATGAAGACATCAACAGTTAAATCCCCCAAGTAGATTGGCATGTTTCCCTCCCTTGTAATTAATTTAGAGTTTATATCTGAACATGAATTAGTTTTAGCTTTGACATGTGACAAGTCCTTTGAGTCCCATTGAGTTAACTCCTCTGTGCTGTCTGCAAACGTTGGCCCTTTGGAGACATCCTGTGCCAGGGAGGGGAATACTCACTCACTATCAAATGGACAAGAAGGGTAACCAAGATGGTTTTTAGCATTAAGTTCATTCTTTTAAAAAGAAAAAAAATAGAAATTTTTCTAAGACTGTTTGCTGACACTCATGAGAAATAGAAGTTTTTATTTCTTGATGCATCCTAAAACCTGGGTGATGACTGTTGACCATAGACCCATCGGCAGAGAACCAAAGATGAGCTCGCAGTTGACCTGAATTATGATTACATACTTCAAATTTTAACTAAAATACCTCCATAATTAATGACTACTATTATTAATATTTCTATTTTGTGTAGGGTGTGAAGAGAGGCAGAAAATGATTCAAGTTAATTGGTACTCCCCCCACAAAAAAATCTTTGTAGAAGTCTGCTGTAGGAGAGACAAGAATAAAATCAAGGACTTTGTCCCTAATATGCAATCTCATGTTTCTAGCTGATGTCTTCTTGGTGGTACACTGACTGAACCAACAAATGTTAGTTCAGAAATACTGACTCTGACCCCGATGTTCTGTGCCACTCTGTGGGTACAAACAATGCCCTATTTTCATTCTTACTGGCACTTGGTCAGTGTGTGGCCAGTCTGCTTGTGGAGGGTTCAGCTGCCTTAAGAGGCTGCTCCCAAATTTAAGTCCACAGGTCCATGTATAAGATGCCTTTATAAGGTGTCTGCTGGCCAAACTCAGAGCCTGTGGCTGCTGTTTCTGAAGGAGTATTGCCCTGCTCAGACAGCTGCGAAACCCAGGGAGCGCCCCAGAGTAAGAAGATCCTTCATTCTTCATGGAGCCAGAGCCAGGGTGGGTTCAGAGCAGAGGGTGACCAATGCTCTTTTCTCCAAAGGGCCCAGGCACTGAAGTCCTTTCCACTATTGCACCTCCTGCCACCCCACACAGACCCCCACCTGCCTATAGCTTCTGTCTCAAAGCCCTTCTCTCCCCTTGCAAACATCTTCTGTAAGTAGATGCCTGGCAGGCCCCAGCCCCTCTGAGAGCACTCGACTAGGCCTGCAAGGTTCTCTGTCAGGCTCTTTAAGGGTTACAGAAGTGAGTCCAGTAAGTCAGGAAAGGAGGTGATGTATGTACAAATTATTATAACCCAGGGCTGAAAGTGATGCCGTGACTGCCACCCACGAGTGCTTCAGCCTGTGTATTCTGCCCTGGTTCCCACTCCTTGGAACACATGTCCTGCCGCTTTCTGTTTTCTGCCTGGCAAACTTCACTCTTCCTTCAAGGCTCTGCACAAGTCAGCTGAAAGGTTACCTGCTCTTTGAAATCTTCCTGAATCTCAGGATGGCTGAGTTGCTTCTTTATGTTTTCACTGCACTATGTCATAACTCTATTACAGTAATTATCTTTTCAATGATGACTTTTCTTAAAAAGCTTTATTGAAGTATAAATTACATAACATAAGCTACACATATTTAAAGTATACAATTTGATAATAAGTATCCTAAAAGGAATGCTACTTTTATTGTCTTGACCCAAGGATGGCTCCATACTACTTATTCATTAAAGAAAATTCAAAAAATCAGAAAAGTATAAAAAAGAAGTTTCCTATAATCCCATATCAGGACATTTCCAAGGTTAATCTGCTGCTTTTGGTTTGCCAGCATCATTCATCAAGCGTGTGTCATTCTAACGGTCAAGTGCACAGAAGGGAGAACTGCTCCCTGCTACTTGGAAGAATAGCTATACATGAGACTTTATTCTTCTCCTCCTGTAAGTCCTGAATTCCAACACTATTCTGCTATAGCACTAACTCTTTGGTACACAATACTCCTAAAACTCCTTTAAATATGGTATTTAGCTAAGAAGAAAAGTTCATGTAAATCATTTTGCTGAAGACAGAAATAACCAGGCACACTGGTATCTGAGAAAGCCCTTCAACAAAACACTATAATGGAGACCACATTTCATTAAATGTAACATGCCATCCAAGTCGCATGAGGCTGCATTACCCACATACTACCAATTGCTGCCAATTGACTGTAAGATGCCATCAACTGTAAAACAAATTCAGATTTTAGTTAATATGTGCTGCTGAGGTGAGTACAAGATTTTTGTTATCTTAAAATGTAAAAAAAAAATATGCACCTTAGATCCATGAAATACAGTAGTTCTTCAGTCGTGTTTGTGATGAGAACAGTATTTATACTGTGGGGGTATTACTTAAAAATGGCTTTCTGAAAACCATTTGAGAAAGGCTCCATGCATACCTCTTTTTGCTCTCTTTGCTTACCTATCAGTCCCATCAATGGAGCTACAAAAGGCAAGAAATCGAAACAAACGTCCTATTTTCAGACCCCCATGTAAAGCTAATTACTGTAGGAAAAATTACCACCTGACTTGGTTGGGTCTCCCTACACCCTCACCAATCCCTTTCTTCTCATTCTTATTCTATAAAGCTCAAAACAGTTGAAATAATGTGATTTATAATTAATTGAAATGTTTATTTTGAGGTAATGCTAAACATGGAGCTTTAGTGGAAACATTTTGTGATAGATTTTGAAGCATGCTAGCAACCCAAACGGGGAGAT